ATAAGGTCATCAGATGCCTGCGTGCGGAATTCTTTTTGTTTTGATGAGCTGGAATGGTGCCATTCTTTGCTTGCCATGTTCATTTCAGGCTGGTAGTAACTGATCCAGCTTTCTTCTCCTGGCAGGCATTCACACATCTTCCCTTCCATTCAAGAGTAATTTGTCTACACAGCCACCTTGCAGACAACTGTTTAACTGAAACAAGTCATGAATTATGTGGGGAGCAGAGCCATGCCTGAAGTCGCACATGGTGGCCACTTTGTTCACTTTAATGTGAAAGTTTTCTCTAATGATGTGTTCAGACTCCACAACTGCTTGCACTGTTACGATACAAGTGGCATCCATGACACTAGACACCTCATTTTTAAACTTCCTGCTCAACTTGTTCACCTGCTACTGCCTTTACTGTACTGCAACTTCATGCAGCAGTGGCCTTGTTAATATCACTAACAAAGGAATGGTTTACAGAATGTTGTTCCTCCTATGTGTATGCTTCCAGTAGAGCAACCATTTTTGTATGCTCTGCTGTCATGATGTCCGCATTGCGAGATCTACCACACACAGTACATGCTTCTAGCTCATACTGCTGACTTACTGTGCATAAAGTTGCACACAATATTGTCTAGATTTTATACTCACTTCTAAGGTTTTCATTTGACTCACTGTTGTACGAGTATGTGGGAGAAACAGAAATGGAAAGATTCTGCTTTGTGATGCCAGCAAAAAGGACATCTGGACCTAATATTGAGATGGATGTTCACAGTTACATTTTGCACTGGTAACAGCATGTATAAGTAGTCATGTGTACAGTTCCACTTACGAGCAAACCAAAATACTGTAGCTTTTCAACAGCCACTGGGTTAATATTTTAATAATTATTTTGAGAGAGTATCAGATATATGCTGTCATTATGTTCCGTGTCTTCATAGCATTGTATAAAATAGTTTATTAGTGACATGTGTAATTCTGTCATTACTTCTTTTATGAACAAAAAGAATGTAACTTACTGTCAGTGTTAAGAAGTTCATTCCAGCTGATATTAATTTTCACTTTCTGATCCTCCTTGCCTTGTCATATGGTACTACTGGTCTAGCAACTACTTTATGCACATGGAGTGTTTTGTTCCATGAGACTGACATTTTGAATTTGTGTTTTGTCAGACACAGAATTTTGATGTAACTGGCTAGATTCACGTTCATACATTTTTATTCTGTGTAAGAAAATTAAATATATTCATTAGCCCCAATAATTTATTGTTAGTGGAAAGTGTATTCCTGATTTGTTCTTTCCATAAGAACATAACATTTCCCTTTATACACACAAACTTTTCAGAGAATACTCCGAAGCTGTATTGTTAAATGGTAAACTGGTATATACAGAGTGATAATTTTAATTGAGAATGCATGAAAATTTCAATAACTTCATATGAAAGTATGTTGAAAGAAATTTAGAAATAAAATCCTTTACTGTCTGACATTGTTTGTATCATAAAAAAAATTGAAAAAGACCACCATTATGTTTCATTCATAACTGATCATTAACCTTTAAGTGCCGAAGTGCCCAGTTTGTGCCAGTCATGAGTAAGGTCGTCGTGGCCAAAGTACCCCGTTTTGTCCAGTCAGGCATTTAAACTCCGCTAGTGGAAGCGCGCG